ACAAAGAATTGCATTTATAAAATACCTTGTGAATGCGATCAGTTTTATTTAGGTGAATCATCAAGGCCATTAAATGTTAGAATAAGTGAACATCAATCTTATATTAAAAATAGAGAATTTGATAGATCTCAAATATGTAAACACGCTTGGGATAATGAACATAGGGTTCAATGGAATAATTCAAATGTAGTCCTAAAAAAAAACGGATGGTAAAAAAAGAAAAATCAAAGAAGCGGCTCTAATTATGCTAAATGAGGCCAATTGTGTCGCAAATTCCTCGGCAGAATGTAGTAGGATCTGGTTACCAATATTGAAAGAGGAAGTTATTAATAAGAAAATACCAGTATTAGTAAGTCAGTAACATAGAGGATACATCATTTATGTTTTTTAAATAACGTAACATATAAAATCAGAATTTTGATGTTTGTTGAAGGTAAACTAAATTCACGAACAAATACTTACAATGTCGGGATAGTATTATGAGGTTTTTTTCCTGGTTTTTTTCCTTATAATTTACTATGGAATCACTAACAGGAGAATTTTACTGTCATCATGTCATGTGTTTGTCTTTTTAAAGACAAATTACATGCTATGATTTTTTTCTGACGGATATTCTCAAGTTAAAGTTGATTTCATGTAATCGAATGAACTATCTTATAAGTAAAGTCGTCCCATGAGCGCAACTCAACAATATTGGCAATATAATTTTTAAGTCGTCTACTTTAAAATGCATAATATATGTCTGAATTGTCAATATAAATGAGTCAGATAAAATTAAATTATTAGAAGAATTTTTCCTATGTAACAAAAAACAAAATTTGTTTAATTTACTGTTTGTATTTTGAGAACGATTTCCGAAGTGGAAATTGAAACGTCAATAAACGTATTTTTATCTTTAATTGTGGCTTATTCCCAGTTAAATAGTAATTAATTTACAATGCCACAAGCAAATAGCTTCAGAACAATAAAAACTTCTTATTATAATATAAAATTAATCAAAATTCTCAAGAATTAATGAATTCTTACTGAACAATATACTAACTGGAAGTACGTGTATGGTACTTAGGTGTTCTATATTGCTATCCATATTGTCTTTCAAATGCGTATAACGGATACACTACTAATAAGTGATGTACAGTTAGATTACTATCACATGCGTATCACAAAGGTTTGGGTTACTTCTGTAGTAGGAAATCATTTGTAATCTGGGTGTGTCCCAATCATAGTCTGGACATGAAGTTTTTAAGATTGTGACACGAATTTCCTTTGACATGTGTTTCTTGCAAACATAGGATGGATGAATGAAATTTAGTTATAAGACTTGTAAGATCTTCTAAATAGGTGTTTTTAGTTGTACCCATTAAGGTTCCACTGAATAATAGAATTAAAAATAGTTTAATTAATAAGTCTCCTGAGAGGAATCGCTAGGATCATCGGTAGAAGTATTACTTAAAATTTGTTTTGTAATTTTGATTTTTATTCTAGAACGACGGGATTTAAAATATCTTGGACTTAACATAGGATGTATTTTCTTTAAAAAGTCTATCAATCATTTGATATCCTCCGAGTAAGTTCTGACGACACTAAGAGCATCTAAAGAACCATGCGCATTTTCAAAGAAGTCAAAGTTCTTCCTATGTTAAGTATCCATTGTTGGAGTTTTCTTTAAAGAATTAACTGGTGCATTTGGTAAAATCTTCTACTAGGTTTCTGTTCTTTTCTTATTGAGTTTTTAATTTTTTGCTTTGTGGCTTCGGTTCAGTTCGGTAATTTTTCTAATCCAGAATAGCAACTGATTTAAATCCAACAGTGTATATTTTATTATTATACTGAATAAAAATCCGAATACACAAATATGAACCAATGAACCAACTGAACCAACTGAAGTATCCAATATTACTGGAAGATAGTTTGTATTTTAAGTTATTTCAAGTTCAAATGTAAAATTTTTTAACAAAAATTAATTTTTTTTTAAACAAATCTATATGTTAATTTTTCTTGAATGGTGCTTATTACTTTTTCTCAAAAACATTAAAAATATATTTTACACACATTAATTGTTATAAACTTTGTATAGTTATAATTAAAAATTATAGAATTATTGTGTTATATAAACAATTTACATACTTAATTCGACTATTTTTATTTGAATTTATACAAAAATTTTTAACCATGAATTTTTTAAAAATATATTTGTAATGTTTTTCAGTCAAGAAGAGTAATTGTTAAAATAATAAGCATAATTAAAGAGAAATTAACATGTATAGATTTTATTTTCAAAAAAAAAAGATTTATATGTTTACAAAAAAAAATTTAAAGTGCATTATATATAACTATAATACATAAATATTTAAGCTACCTATGTTTTCATAATATGTTTTACTAACAATATTAATAATAATAAAAAAATAATAATAATAAGAGAAAAGTAAAATTTTGCAAAATAAATATTTCTGTTAAAATGTTTGAACAAATTACTCAGTTAAATAAACAATTCACAAAATTAACTAATTAAATTTTTCTAATCTATGCAAAAAGATACCCCAAATTAAAAAAAAAATCGTTGATTAGAACCAGAAATCTTGGGATTTTTATATTGAAAGTATGAATTTAGTTTTGAAATATTAAAATCGAGAAACAAAACAAAACTACTTAATCGGGATTTATGGATCGTACGACATTGAATTTTGTTTTAAAAGTTGTGTAAAAATGCAGACATTTCGAGCAAAAAAATTGCTTCGTTTGTTGATGCGTTTGAGTTATTTTAAATGTTTATAAGCTTAAAATGGCAGTACTTTTGAAAATTTATTTTACAATATTTCACATCAATTTTTTAATCATTGAATGTTTTTATTTGATAAAAAGCCTTTCTGTTTAATTTGATGCTTTCAGAGTTTTTGTCAATTTTGCAATAACTGTTAAGTAAAACTTCTTGAAATTTTTTTGTACGCATTTGGAAAAATTATAAATATTTTCAAAAAATTCTTCTGAATCTGTTTTTGCAATAACTAAGCAACAAATTAACATAAATAGCTTTACAAACTATTTATCCAATGCAAAATAATTGTTAGATACCTGTATCAAATAGTGTCATGAAAAAGACTTTTTTTTGATAATTTCAATGGTCTATAAATACGAATTACGCGAAAATATTCAAAGCATTTTTAAATATAATTTAAAAATATTTATTTTTAATACTTTTAGAATAAAATAAGTCACAGAAATAGAAAGTTATTATTATTTTCAAATAATATTAAATTATAAACAAATAAAAAAATATATTTTTCATGTTTAAAAAAAATTACTTTATTTTTAAATTTAAATATATTTTGGAAAAACCAAGTAATTAGCGAAATAAAATATCACTTAATTTAAACTCTTCAGTTTTAGTCAGATTCTTAAAATGTAGTTTAGATGTATTTAGTTTTGGCTGGGACAATGAAAGATAAAATGTTAACTGAACTAGTATTAATATCGGTAAATATTAGAGTGTATGTTAAATTGAAATAATTAAAATTAAACATTTTTCTTTACTAGACAAAATTACAAATTGTTAATGGTTTTAAAAATAATTAAATTAAAAAAAAATATTGTATTGTAATAGTTTGAGAATGATTTGAAAAGCGATACACTAAATTATTTATAACATTGTGTGAAAACTAAACATTAAGTTGCTTATAATATTGTTTAAACAATTCAAAATTAAAAAATTTTACTTTTCTCTTATTACTGTAGAAAGAAAAGGTTTTCAAATAATAAGCAAATTAAATATTTTTAAGTTGTGTTTAAAAATAATATCTTTTAAACAAAAAATTTTTAACAAAAATTATTTTTTAACATAAAAATTAAATATATGTGTTAATTTCTCTTAAATAATTATGCTTATTATTGTTAGAATTACTTTTTCTTAAAAACAATATACAAATTTTATAATAGTTAATTTTTTTTAAATATATTTGTAATGTTTTTTCGTCAAAAAAAGTAATTGTAAAAATATTAAGCATAATTAAAATGAAATTAACTCGCATAGATATGATTTTCAAATAAAAAGTTTATTTTTTTATCATTTTTTTTTAAGGACATTATTTATACCTATTAGAAATAAATATTTAAGCTAGTTATCTTTAATATTTTTTTTACTACTAATAGTACGAAAAAAGTAAAATTTTGCAAAATAAATATTTTTTTAAAAATATTTGAACAAATTACTCAGGTAAATAAACAATTCACAAATTAACTATTTAAATGTTAATAATCTTTGCAACAAGGTAACTCAAATTAAAAAAAAACATGAATGTTTGTTGATTAGAACAGGATATATTGGAGCTTATATTTTGAATGTCTAAATTCAGTCTTTGAAATAGTAAAATCGAGAAACAAAACTAATAACTCGGGTTCTAAGGGTCGTAGGATATTGAAGTTTTCGTTTTCAGAATTCATATAGACCTAATAGTTTACGCATAATAACGTTGTAGATAAAAGCTTTATGGCATAAACAATTTCAATTTTGCAATAAATGTTAAGTAAAATTTTTTGTAGGTGAATACCTGTGATATTTTTCCTATTATTAATCAAAATTATTTTTTTGTGTGTTTTTAGAAAAGTTATTAATTATTTTCAACAAAATTTTACTTTTGAATCTGTTCTTGCAATAAACAACCCACAAATTAACAAAAATGCCTTGACAATTTCTCATTTTAAAGAATTTTCTATGCTTTTCAATAAAGTCTTGTCACTTTTCCATCATTAAAGAAATTTATAATTTAATTAATTAAGTACAAAAACAAAAGGAAGATATTGTAGTGTAATAGTTTAGGAATAATTTGAAAAGCAAAACACTAAGTTACTTTAACATTATGTGAAAACTAAATTGTAAAGTAATTTTTAGTAAATCAAATCGTATTTTAATTAAAATAAAAACTATTTCAAGTATTAAATTCGTCCGATATCAAAAAACAGCAAATTTTCGTACACGCATTTTTAATATAATTATCACTTACCTCTCGAGGCGCACAACGAACGCAAATCAACAAGAAAGCGGCAATAACCGCGAGGAGCACAAGGACTGACCGCATCATACCAGAATGGATGAAGATGGCTTGTGGCGTTCGCCATATCCTACAAAAGCTTTTATATCCAGGATTCTTATCCCGATTTTCGGAGTAGGGACTCTTGTTTCTCTCTCTCTCCCTCCTTTACTCTAGCGACGTCATGTTTGATATGGATAACAGAAAATACCAACGCAGGTGCACTTTTTCCTTGTGAGAGCTTTTTGATAAGGTTTTTATTTCAATATTGGCATTTATTGCCTGCGACTGTTACTATTATTGCGTGATTGGACGTCTATTTTGCTGGTTTTAGTGTTATTAGTACCTGCTTTTAAAGATATCACCTACACACACCAACCTACTACGCTTTTTGGGTATCTCGATAAGTGGCAATCAGAAAAAATTTTTGTTAAATTTCGACCTTCCGCATTATCCTACGGGGTTTTCACTATTTTTGATTTCAACTTGAATTAAATTTAGTATAATAAAATTTTAAAACAAATTAAATTTTTTGTTTCGTATCTATTAAAACGAATATAATAATAATAATACGTTTATTTTAATTAATATTTTTACAATATCAGTTTGCTTAAAGATAATAAACATAAAAAAATCTTAAAAACATAAACATGCTCGTTGACTTAAGCTATGTAATGTTTGCAGATTTAGATTTACAGATTTTCTTTATTTAACATACAACACTGAAAACTTTTTTTTTATTTATTTATGCCTAAACTTCATAGGGTAATTAAAATTGTACAATTTAAAGCTTTACAATTTACTTAGTACATTTATGGAATATAAGTATGATGTCAAATTTTTCATATTAGTTCCGTCAATGAATATTGCCTGTAAGGTATCTTGTATTCTTTATTGAAATCTCTCCATGCAATATAAAGGACACTCCGGTAAAATATGGCGAACTCTGAGCACAATATCACATACGTAGCACTATGGTTTTAATTCACTCTCCAACAGATGTTTATGGGTGATGGCGGTGTGGCTTATTCTCAGACGAGATAGGATGGTTTGATGTATACGCTAATTTATGTTGATTTCCAAGGTAATATAGAATGTTTTACTTCTCGTAGTTTAGATGTTGACTGATTCCACTTGGTCTGCGAATCATTGCTTATTAATTTCTCGATTATAGGTTTTATATCTAGATGTAGAATGCTTCAGACTTCTTCAGCTTTCGGACTCGAGATTGCTAGTTTGGCCAAGGAATCTACTTCTTCATTCCAGCAACCGGATATGGGAAGGAATCCATACAAAGTTGACATTTATGTTCATAGTTTGCAGTTGACTTAATACTGATTTAAAAGTAGTAGACTTGGATGGGTAGGATATTAGCTATTTAGGGCAATTACAGAACTAGGGTAATAATGACAGGGTTTTTGATACTATTTTCTACTACAAAATTTATTGCATAGAGAATTAACTCGGCTGTGTAAATGAATGTTAATTTAGGGAGTTTTATTAATATTTTTGTTTTATTAGACATAAATACTACTCCCACTCCATCTATAGTTTTAGAGGTATCGGTATATATATATAAGATTATAATTACTGTATGTTTTAAGTTTTTGGAGGACATATTGATATAATGCTTTGGGATGGTTATCTGCTTGTTTATATATGGAGAGTTTGGTATTAATAGATGGGGTGGAAACAGTCCAAGGGGGAACAGTGTTAATATCTGGTATACAAGATATCTGGAAATTTGAATTCAAGTTCATTGAGGTATCTATTTACCCTTTTATAAAAAGGAAGGTCAAGCCTAGCATGTGTTTTAAAGATATTCATAACACGGTCTGAATTTACATGGTGGTTAACAGAATTCATAGGATTTGCCTCTATTGATGCCGCATTAGTGAAAGTTGTTTTATTTGGAAATCCAGGGGGATTTCTCCAGCTTCACAATCTAAACTTTCAGTAGGGCGAGTATAAAAGGCACCTAGTATGGTTCGCAAAGCACTATTTTGTATTCGATCAAGTTGTTTTATGATATATGGTTTGGCTGAATCATAAATAATACAAACGTAATCGAGTTTGGACCTGATCAATGACTTGTATATAAGGGTCACTGTTTTACTATCTACTCCCCACATGTTGTGTGCAACAGTTTTTATAATGTTAAGTGCAGATTGACACGTACTTTTTAGATCATGAATCAAAGTGCCTTTCTAAAGTGATTTATTTTTGGTATGTGTTTACACTTTATAGTCTTTAACTGAATAAGTTGAGGAGGGCAGAACTGTTTGTCCCAAGTTGATTATTCAGAATTATGACTGTATTTGTTAATTTGTTGATCTCCATATATTCTAATAAAGACAGCTTAAACCCTATATTTTGAATCTGAATAATTTCAAATTCGTCATTTAAATAATGATTATGGTCTAAAAGGTGAAGTGCATAGGTAGAGTCTGTTTTTCTATTACTGAATGCAAATTTATGTTCTGCTATACGTTTGATAAAAGTTCTACAAGTTTGAACCGATATAGTTTTTCTGCAGTCGCCACATTTAAGTTTATATACACCAGTGTGTAAGTGCTTGTTATTTTGACTCTTGTTGTTTTTAATATGTTTAATTTACCTAAGTTTTTGTTTGTTCTAAAGCTGGTGTTATTTCTTTCTTTTTTTATGTGTTTTTATGTGGCTATTTTTATTGATATCTTGCCTGTATATATGTAATCGAGCAGAAGGTACTGCGTTTTTTCTCTGGAGGTGGAAATACTAATTTCTTGGCTTTTTTATGTAGTTTTTGATTTAAAATTTTGTTTTAAAAGTAATTTTTGACATGTAAATTTCTATTAATCTATGTAAAAGCTATGATAGGCAGCCAATTTATGTTGTGTAGGATGGGATGATGAATATAAAATGGGATCTGATATAGTTGGGTAGTCAGTAAGAGTAGGTTTATGAAATACGGAAAACTCATGTTTGTTTTTAAGTCTGATAATTTTTAAATCCAGATTCTGTTCTGGTTCTACTGTTAATTCAATATGACTATGAAGTGAATTAATATACGATAAGAATTGGTCAAGTTGTCTATTAGTTGCTGTAAACTAAAAAATCATTGTTTCTAGAAGATCCATAAAAATATCTGATAGCAATGGGCTTAGAGTTTATAAGAGATTAGAGAGGGCTAGGGATTATAAGTCCTGCACTGTTATTTGTATATATTTGATTAGTAAATTTAAAGTAGTCATGGCTTAGGCATGCTTAAGATGTAAAATTTTAGACGTAATGATTGGATTTGTAATATTGTCTAAAAGATCTTTTCTAGAACAAAAGTTACTGTAGGAGCAATAGTAGGAAAAAGATTATTAACGTCAAATGAAATTAATTTTGAGTTATTAAGTAATTGAAAATGTTCTATTTTATAACTAGCTCTATTGTATTTTTTACGATAAATTGGGGTGAAAATTTAGTGCGATCTAAAATAATCTCTAATAGTTTATGAAGTTTATGAAGTTTAATAAAAGAGTATAATTTAGGAGGCTGTGGATTCATGATGTTGAGGTAATTCTGTTCTATTGAATTTAATATTGATTTTGAATTTTCTAACGCTAGTTTAATTTTTTTTTGGTACTTTTTCGTTGGATCTTTGTTTACTGTTTTAATTTTTTGATTATTTATAAATTCTTTTGGGTTGTTATTATATTCTATTTGACCTATAGCAATAGTAGTATTATCTTTGTCTGTTTTTGTAAACACTATATTGTTTTCTATTGATATATGTTTAATTGAAATGACTGTTTGATTCCCTTTGTAACAAGACCTTTTAGTTTCACTACACACCTCGGTAATAAATTTCGCAGTAATACTTTTTTCGATAAAATTGGCAGTTTTTTTATTGCTACTTCACGTTCTACACCTAAATATTCTTTTGATTAAGTTTTTTAATTATTATGTTGAGGCAAGTTGTGTTTAAATTCTATCTCTAAAAGTTGTTTCTCACTACTACTGAATTTACATAGTATCAGTTAAATTTATAAGTCTATTAAAAAAATTATGATTCGAAAAACTTTTTGTATAATGAACATTGGGTTTTATACTATTGCAAATTAGATTAGTTAGTTTTTTACTCCGTGTATTATTATATGTGGTGTTATCGACGTAGAAAATATCATGGATGGATCGCAATTCAAACGAACAAGTTTTCAAACAACTAGGAAAACGATGCGAAGTTTTAAATTTCATAAAAATCACGAAATTGGAATACTTGGGGCACATCATGAGAGGTGAAAAATACGAACTACTAAGGAATATAATGCAGGGTAAAATCAAAGGTAGAAGAGGCGTAGGAAGACGTAAAATCTCGTGGCTACGCAATCTCCGTGAATGGTTTGGATGCAGTTCAATTGAACTATTCAGGCGCGTAACCAACAGAATTATAATTTCCAGACTGATTCCCAATCTCCGCGAGTGGAACTTGAACAAGAAGACACTGTGTATTAAATTTTTGATCTATTATTTTATCTATTTTAATTCTCAAGTTACAATCTAGGATGTCAAAGTCTATATCATTTAATTTATAATCCAATTCTGAAGGATATACCTTAACATAAACAAATATGATATCTCGCTTTTCATTATGGTGTCTTCTCTCATCTTTAAGCCATCTGGTCTTGCCATGATGCAGGTTTTTTTAGTTTAATAAATAATTTATTTTTAGAGTGTCCCTATTTATCTTTTAGTAACTAATTGTTTTTTTTATCCACATCAACCGAGGAAGATTATTAGTGGGTATAACAAACTGACGGATATAGAAACTGAAAATTTAATGTTTAATATTTAAAATAAAGCAATAGTTGGAAAAAAATGCAAAAAACTAAGTTTTTCCTGTTAGATGTTGTTGACCCTTAAACATAAATTACAGCCTTCATGTACTGCTTAGAAAAACTTTATAATACTGAGACGTGTGCGAAATTTCATTAGAATCGGTAAAATATTTTTTGCTTAATAATTTTGGAATCCAGTGTCCGCAAAGAAATTGCAAATTTGCGAAATTGCATGCTTACTACAGTAGACTCATAAACTACAGTA